CTTTTAATGTGAGTGCGGATGCTAGACACCTCGTCCGGGTTCACTTCTGTGACATTATCGGTCCGCCTGGTAATTTAGTATTTAACTTGTATTCAAATGGAAACTTCATTAAGAAGGTTGGTGGACCCGATTTTAGTTTTAGTAGCCTGTACTCGCCTTTCTACTATGATTTTGTATTGAGTTCTAATGGATCTGAATTCATTAACATCAGCATAGGCCCTAACACAGACACAACAACTAACAATTCCTTTCTAAATGGACTGGAAATGTTGGAGATAATAGAGGGACCAGCTTTAAGTAACCCTCCAGCTTCATTTTGTAATATGAAAGGGCGCAAGAAGATAAAGGTGGGTCTTGTGGTTGGTTCAGTTATTGGAGGCCTGTCACTTATCTGCATTCTGATTGTCGGAATCTTGTTCGGTTTGAAATACAGAAAGGCAAAGCGTGTTGAAACTTCGGAATGGTCACCAATGCCTGCATTTGGTGGAGGGAGTACCCACAGCAGGTTGACTGATGGAACTATTACTGGTTCCCCTATGAATTATCTAAATCTTGGGTTGAAGATATCTTTTGCTGAACTTCAGCAAGCAACAAACAACTTTGACACAAAATTGTTGATAGGTGAGGGTGGCTTTGGGAATGTCTACAGAGGAACTCTGTTGAATGGCAGAAATGTAGCTGTCAAGCGAGGTAAACGAGATGAGCAAGGGTCAGGCCAGGGCCTTCCAGAATTTCAAACAGAGATCATGGTTTTGTCCAAGATTCGCCACCGCCATCTTGTTTCCTTAATTGGGTACTGTGATGAAAGGTCTGAGATGATACTGGTCTACGAGTTCATGGAAAAAGGGAGCTTGAGAGATCATTTATATGATTCAAACTTGCCTCGCTTGTCATGGAAGCAAAGGCTTGAAATTTGCATTGGTGCAGCAAGGGGTCTTCATTACCTCCACAGAGGTGCAGCTGGGGGAATCATTCACCGTGATGTTAAGTCCACCAACATCTTGTTGGATGAAAACCATGTTGCCAAAGTTGCTGACTTTGGCCTTTCAAGATCTGGTCCTCTTGATGAAACACATGTCAGCACAAATGTTAAAGGCACTTTTGGTTACCTTGATCCTGAATACATAATGTCCCAACAGTTGACAGAAAAATCTGATGTTTACTCATTCGGCGTGGTTCTCCTTGAGGTGTTATGTGCAAGACGTGCTATTGATACAATGCTCCCAAGAGACCAAATGAATTTAGCTGAATGGGGAATGCTTTGCAAGAAGAAAGGGTTGCTTGAACAGATTGTTGACTCTTCAATCAAGAATGAGATAGATCCTAGCTCATTCAAAAATTTTAGTGAGACAGCAGAGAAATGCTTGCAAGAAGATGCTAATGATAGGCCTACAATGGGTGATGTGCTGTGGGACTTGGAGTATGCATTCCAGCTCCAGCAAACAGCAAAGCGTAGAGAACCCCATGAAGACAGCACAGCCAATGCTTCATCAGCATTTGTATTGCCAACTGTTCAGCATTTTCCTTCAGTTAGCTCCACGATTAACATAGATGATCTGGCTCTTCCCGGAGACGATGAATTAGATACGACAGAAGTTGAAGTTTTCTCCCTATTGAGAGTTGGTGATGCCAGATAAATTTGAGTTTGTAAGGTATATTAGTTAACCTTGTTTAAGTTTCTTTAGGCTGTAAAAGCTAAGTTGTGTATGCCCTGTTAAATTTAGTCCTATCTTTGATTATTGTACTACAACTGCTTTCCCATCTTTAAGACGTGATAATAAACAGAAGCAGCTAACAAATTCTATGATAGTTAAACTGCTGTTGATTGGGAGTTTCACCGTGTTACCCCAGAGGGGTGTCTTACTTGGGTTCATGCATTACTCCCTGCTATATTCTATACTTCTCCCTGAGACTGTCCAGCCATGCTCTTAGCCTAAACCCTGGGCAGTAGGATCATGATACAAAACAATTCAAATTGAAGGAGACACAAACTCGTGATTGATAGTGTTATGAAATATGTTTAAATGCCCTGGAAAATATTATGGATAGACATATCTCAAAAACCTCATGTCTCATATGAATCGTGGAACTCAATCATATATTTATCAGGAAAATAATTCTTGCACGGATGCTTTAGTTAGTTTAGGCCATCAGGTTGAGGTTTCACAGTCTAATAGCAAGCTTTTTGACATTGTTGGTTCGGCTAATTTAGGAGTGGTTTTGTTTAATTTCGTTTTCATCTTTAGCCAAAAGAAATGACAAGGGACATTTAGGGGAAATTCTTCTGTTTGTTTTTATGTATAAATGTGAAAAAGGTTCTGTAAATGCAAATAGAACGTAAGATTAGGTAGCTAGTGCACGATGTCAAAGAATGTATACTTTTAACTCCAAATTGCCGGAGATCGTAGAAAATTAGGGTTAGCTTCTGGAGTTGCTAGTAAGAAGCTAGAAAGTTCCTCTGGCTTCTGTACTTAAGATGTGTGTTTCTTTGCTTCAATTTCATAATCATTGGAAATATACATTTGTCTAGGCTACAAACATACACAACTGATGATATATATCAATTAACAAGTAGCTTTTTTTTACTGACAAGCAGCTACGAGAAGAACAGTTCTTCTTGCAAACAATGTTTTTTAGCATCATATCATGTTGATGTAGTTTTCCATGTTGTTGACCTCATAATTATTACTGTCCCTATACCTATAATAGCTTCAGTAATGCTTTACTCTCCCATTGGAAACTAGTAGCAAATCCTGCATATTTTCCCTGGAAAAGTTACACTTCCAAATGATAGGCTGAAGTACCAACATGGAGGAATTACTAAAAGGTAATTGATAGATAATAGCAATTATATATGGTCAATCCATAAAAGGTAATTGGCTGGTTGGCAGCTCTGTTTTACTTTGATTTTGTTGTTGACTTGATGATTTTGGATTTATGACTACAAGCTTGGGTTCCAAGTTCAAAAGTTAGGTAGGAAAGGATTATGAAAGGTTGTATGGGAGAATTGCCATTGTGTCCATTGCTCCTAACTTAAAATTCTGGTCTGAAGATATCTTTTGCTCGAATACAGATTGCAACTACAAAATTTGAAGCAAAATCATCGATTGGAAGAGGTGGGTTCTGGAAAGTCTATAAGGAACTCTTCAAAGTATCAAAGTGGCTGTAAAGTAATGTGAACCAGGCATGAGCCAGGTATTCTGGAATATCAGAAGACTTAACTTTGTTATATCAAATCTGTTATGTTCATCTTGTTTCTTTGATTGGTTATATATTGTGATGAAGGCTCTGAGATGGTACTGGACTTTTGAGAGATCGTCTCTGTGATTCAAATAAATATTTTCCATATTATTTTGGGAGCAAGGAATTCATATCTGTATTCATATCTGTATTAGTTTATCATTTATTAAAGCCAAAAAAAAATATGTTGTTGTCAGGTGGACCAGTGTCTCATGGTGCCTTTCTCATCCAATGCAAAACACATGAAGACGAGCGCCATCAAACTTTTTCTTAGTGGAAGAAACTTTAGTCAATTACATGGTTCACTTTAACTAGAGAAAACTAAGATACCCAAAATGTCCTTTGTTGTATTTGCTTAGTCTATGAAATATAAGGGATATTTACAGAAATTCCACCCTACTTTCGCTTGGAATTTTCTATTTTCCAATCCAATGTGCATGGTTGATATTAGTAGAATTAAAGCATCCATCTTAAAATCAGTTGGCTTTAATTTCCTGACGTGGGATTCTCTCAACAAACATTTATCAACTTTAAAAGTCCGCAACTTTTCCTATTCCAAGTCTTTGTCTTGCATAATTTCCAAAATCATTCAGCTCTAAATTCCATTCCCAGATGAGCATTGCTTTGTCTAAGAATTAGCAAAATCCAGTGACTCCATTATCTGTCATGGAAAATCTTCATAACTGTAGAACCCTTGTCCCCATGTTTTCTCTGCTTGCTCTTCTCCTCCACTTATCATCCTTTCACTCTGTGTCTCTAGCTTATGAGCTCCCAGATAAGAATTTCATCAATTGTGGATCAGATGCTGCTATAAACTTAACTGGCAGGACGTTCATTGCAGATGGTTCCTTCTCCTCACAGAAAAGCAAGGCTGTCAAAGCCAGCAACCAGCTTCCAGATAATATATCAACTCTCTACCAAACAGCAAGAATTTTCAGCCAGCAATCCTACTATAAGTTCGAGATCAGTGAAAACGGTACTTATCTTGTACGCCTGCATTTCTTGGCTTTCTCCTCCTCGGTTAATCTCTCCACAGCTCTTTTTGATGTTCTGGCTTTTCCTAATGTTTCAAATTCTGGGTTCAAACTGTTGAGCAATTTCACTGCTAAGAATAGTAGCAACTCTCCTTTGATAAAGGAGTTCTTCCTTGGGATTGATCCTGGCACATTTAAAATATATTTTGTTCCTCAAGCATCATCTTTTGCATTTGTAAATGCCATTGAAGTCTTCCTTGCTCCTGCAAGTTTCAGCCCTGAGAATTACAACAGTAGTCTTCCTTCAGTTCTACATACAATTTACAGGGTGAATGTTGGAGGCCAGGAAGTCACACCAGATATTGACAGAATATGGAGGAACTGGGAACAAGATGATAGTTATCTGTCTGATCCAAACTCTGCCAAGGAAATCCCCTACTACCCAAATAGGCCTAGTTATTACAATGGAGAGCATAGTGATCCAGTCACTCATTTCATTGCCGCTAATGATTTTATTGCCCCGGATTCTGTTTACCGAACTGCCAAAGAGATGAATATTACTCCTAGCAGGCCATTCAATTCCTTCAACATAACCTGGTCTTTTAATGCGAGAAGGAACGCTAGGCACCTTGTCCGGGTTCACTTTTGTGACATTATTGGTCAACCTGGTAATATAGTATTTTATTTGTACTCAAATGGCAACTTCAGTAAGAAGGTTGGGGAATATGAGTCCTTTTTCTCAACAGAGTCGGCTACTCCTTTCTACTATGATTTTGTGGTGAGTTCTAATGAGTCTCAACTCATTAGCATCAGCGTAGGCGCTCAAAAAAACTCTATAAACAGAACTGCCTTTCTGAATGGTCTGGAAATGTTGGAGATAATGGAGGGGTCAGTTTCAGTTTCTGATGTGAAAGAGTCTGTGAAGAAAAATGTGGGTCTTGTGGTTGGTTCGGTTGTTGGAAGCCTGTCTTTCATCTGCATTTTGGCTTTCGGAATCTTGTTTGGTTTGAAACACATAAGAAGGTTGACTGCGATTCGTGGGGTGAAGATATCATTTGCTGAAGTTCAGCGTGCAACAAACAACTTTGACGACGAAAAGCTGCTTGGTGAAGGTGGCTTTGGGAATGTTTACAGAGGAACTCTCCTCGATGGAAGAAAAGTAGCTGTCAAGCGAGCTAAGAAAGGTTCACGCCAAGGCCTTGGAGAATTCCATACAGAGATTAAGATTTTGTCCAAGATTCACCATCGCCATCTTGTTTCCTTAATTGGGTACTGTGATGAAAAGTCTGAGATGATAATTGTCTATGAGTTCATGGAAAATGGGACCTTGAGTGATCATTTATACGCTTCGGACTTTCCTCGTATGCCGTGGAAGCAGAGACTTGAAATTTGCATTGGTGCAGCAAGGGGTCTGGATTACCTCCACACGGTTGCAGCTGGGGGCATCATCCACCGTGATGTTAAGTCCAACAACATATTGCTTGATGAAAACAATGTTGCTAAAGTTGCTGACTTTGGCCTTTCAAAACATGGTTCTGTTGATGAAACTCATGTCGTCACCAAAGTGAAAGGCACCCTTGGTTACCTTGATCCGGACTACATGATGTCCGAACAGTTGTCTGAAAAATCTGATGTGTACTCGTTCGGGGTAGTTCTTCTTGAGGTGTTATGTGGAAGACCTCCTATTGATGGAAATCTCCCAAGAGATGAAATGAACTTAGCTGAATGGGTTCTACATTGCAAGACGAAAGGGTTGCTTGAACAGGTTGTAGACTCTTCACTTGAGGGTCAGATTGATGCTCACTCGCTGCGAGTATTTAGTGACACGGCTGAGAAATGTCTCCGAAAAGAAGCTAATGATCGGCCTACAATGGGTAATGTGCTGTCTGACTTGGAATATGCAATAAGGCTCCATCTAGCACTAAATCCTAGAGGACTTAGTTCTGAGGACAGCACAGCCAATGCTTCATCAGCATTCATATATGTTGAGCGTCTTCCTTCACTTAGTTCCACAGTTAACGCAGACGATACAGCTGTCTCCGCGGACGGATCGGTGGACACAACACCAAGCCAAGTTTTCTCCCAATTGAAGTTTGGCAATGCCAGATAAGGATAAGCTTGTGTGTTCTGTGAAGTATTAATATTACCCTTGTTTTTAGTTTCTTGCCAGTAAAGCTAACTTTGGTGTGGCTGTGTTGATTTTGGTATTGTCTTTGATTATTGTACTATTAGCTCTGATATCTCATCTTTAAGATTCAACATAGTAGTGTTGTTCTCATCTTTGATTGAACCCACTTGACTCTTGTTACGTGAGGAGAGATAGAGAGAAGGGGCAGTGCTGCCGTGACATGGAAATTTTTCTCCTTGTGCTTGCGTCGACGTTTAATGGCATGGCCTCTGACCCAAGCCTTGCAATTGGCTAGCTTGGGCAGTAGGATCAAATGCAAAAAAGCATTCAAATTGAAGGGGACTCAAAACTCGTGATTGATACTGATACTGAACATGTTAAAATGCTCTGGAAGTAATATATCTCTTAGAATCTCAGATCACACATGGGTCAGGGAACAAAAGCATATTTATCAGGAAAAGAATTCTTCCAACGGTTGAGGTTTCAATCAAAGAAAATAAATCTGCCTTTTGAAGTTTTTACTCTTGTATCATACAATTTGTATGCTTTTTGACACTCTTGGCTCCGCTACTTTAAAAAGATGGATTTTTTTTAAGACTTAAAAGCATTCAGCTCAAAATCAATTGGTAACGGTCGAAAGACCCAATATATTATGCACTGCAATGAAAAGCTTCAAATTTCCACTGGAATTTTAACTTTTATAGTTTCTAACGCGATCCTTTGTAAGCAGCCAGATTGTGGTAAATATGTGAATCAATTAAATTCTGGAGCGCATGTGATCAAATTGAGCCAACGAATGAATGAAGTGCGTGCTCTAATATCACGATACAATTTGAGCATGAGATCATCAGGAGGACCAAAATATAACATAAACATACTGTTAAAGTAAGGCTTCAAATTTCCAGCGTGGAATTTTATATTCTTTTTTAACTACAGATTGCAGCAGAGCAGATCATTCAGGGTCACAGTTAACTAACTGGCTTCTGATTTTGCTAGCAGAAAGCTAGAAAGTTGCTGTAGAGTTTGCAGCAACAAGTCGGTATACGAACTATTTGGAAAAATTAAGCCAATAACAATAAGCTATAGCTTCTAAGAAGTGTGTTTCGTTTCTTGAATTTCATAATAATCCATTGCAAATATACATATGTTTAGGCTACAAACATACACATCTGATGATATACATAAAGAAGAATTACATGATGATTGAAGGAAGCCATTAAAAAAGTTTTAAAAGTATGGAATTAAGCTAGTGGCCAGAGCCCTTCCTACTTGGCCCAGAAGCCAACGTAGACATTTGATACCTTACAAAAACCTTGTCCCTCTTCTTCCTTGCAGTTGCAGAGCTTGAAAATGAAGGTTTTGATCCAATCAATCTATGCCCATTACCAGAAACTTTGGAACGAAGAGCTCTACATTCAACTTGAACAACAACAACGTTGGACTGAGAGAAGAACACTAGCGCCATCAAAACTAAAAGACATAAGCAAAAGTGTCTCATTCTTGATGCTTCAAGAACTATAACTTGTTTAATGAACCTCTTTCTTCCCCCCAACTATATAGGATGATTCTTTCAACTATATTCTCCTCCTAGGCAAAAAGAATGGAGCAGAAAAAGATTGGCTTTGGGGTTCTTTGGCATCTTCATTTCATAAGCTATTTAACGTCCTTTGTTATAAGGGGTGGGAGGGATTGGGTGGCAAAGGACGGTGTAGAGCTTTTTGGTTGTGGGATCCATTAAAAGAAGTGTTTTTGACTTTGACCCAAACTTTTCATTTTCCTATTGGTCATGACTCATGAGTTCAGGCGCAGACGGTGGGATTAAGCTTCAATTTCACATTGAGATTGAGCTCTGCTTGGCACAGTCCACGCTTGACTTCTCCTTGAGACGAAGGCGACTCTCAGCTGTTAATGCATTGTGTAGGTGATTTTTAGTTGTTAAGATGTGCTTGAAATAGCCGGCCATTCAAGCGTGGATGGACGATTATTGAGTGCCCGACGAAGAATGGCTGACTTGAACAACTGTCCTTCTCTTTCACATTTGGATTAATTTATGACCCAATTTTGTGACTTGCCAACATGGAAACATGGGTTACCTGCCTCCGACCAAACAAAAAAAAACATGGGTTTACTCGTTTGAGTAATGTCACAGGGTCGGTTGGTGCACATTGCACACTTTTTGGGTTATAAGTAGGTGCATGATATACCAAATCAAATTTGAACTGTGTGCTGCAAAAGCCTCCAAGTTGTTTGGGGTTCTCAAATGTCGATGTCACATAAACAACGGTCTAAATGGTTCAATTACACTGAATTAATGTTCACCTTTTATTTTGCACATTCCTTCTTCTCTCAAAACCAGCCAGCAACAAAGCAAAGCAAAGCAATGATACCATGAAAACTGGATCCACATATGTCAATTTCATGGGAATCTCAATTGGTGGATATTAATTTATATTTTTTTAGGAAAAAGAACCAGTTGGGTATTTGTTTTTAGTAAAAGGAATTAGATGGGAGCGGTGGAGGAATTAAATTAAATTAAATTTCTTTTAACTTTTTAAATAATTTATGATTATATTAATTTTGTAGGCTTAGCAGTCAAAGTAGTTATTCCTATATCTGGTATCATAGCCATAAAGCCTCCACTTGGTATCAACGCTTTTGGTATTAAAGATAAATTTATTGGACGATTGTAGCTCAAGTCCAAGTAAAAAAATGGATTTTTGAGGACAGGGGAGGGGAGTGAAAAATAAATTAAAAAATTACCTACATCCAATAAATTCTGACCCAAGGGATTCATTTATAAATAAATTGCACAGCCTTTAAAACGAAATTCAAAAAAGCCCAAGTTTGATAATATGAAATTTACATGGTAACTATAGAATTTGACCAACTAGTTATATTCTCCTTCTATATGAAAAATATAATAAAGCATTGACGATATTATTAGAATCAATCCTTTTTTTTTCTTCTTTTTTTTTTTATGGGTAGAATCAATTCTTAGGTGGTTTGTTTAGTTTTGACTTTGTCAAAGATAACTAGTTTTATAAACAGACATGTCTCGACTAATTTTACAAATATTATTGTGGACCAGAAGAGTCATACAGATATTTATTTACTACGAATGGAGAAAGTCATGAATTTGGGAACTTAGATAGGGTAATAAAGGAATTGGAACCAGTAGCTCTTTGAGACTTTTAAAGGTAAAATAAGTAAGTTTTTACAGGTATGATCCTAGGGAACTTGGGAATGCTTTATCAGGGGCAAGGTTCCTTCTCATGCTTGCCATTGAGATGGTAGGCTACTTGGCTAGACCGACGATCAAACCCTTATGTGTATAGTTGCTCGCCTAATCCTCTAGGACATAGCTTGGTTTTTGTACTTGTTCCCTTCCTTTCATTAATAAAATTCTATCCTTTTTTTCAACAACAAACAAATGGAATCGAATCATCTACTCACCCCTAGTTGATATTATTCATGATTTTGAGGGTATTTAATTAAGGATCTTAAACCATGAGATGTTGTGTGGTGGTAGCTCACCTCATTCCTTAACCATGTGGTTGGGGGTTCGATCCCCGCCCATGGGAATGGAGCGCATTTCGTGGCCAGCTGTTTACCTCCTTTGGAGAGCTCCCGCGGCGAAAGGGATTAGTCACTACTGTCGGCGGTGGACACCCTTGGATCTCATCCAAAAATTAAGGATCTTAACGTGAAACCTACATAATTTTTTATTCCTAATGTGTTAGTAAGCACAAGGGAAATGATGAATTGGAATTATTACAATACCCGTGTGTTAGTAAACACAAGAAAAGCAGTAATTGGAATCATTCCAATACTCATTATTGATTGGTATTAGTAAACATGCCACTCATTTTTTATTTAAAAAAAAAACACAAGTATTATGCTGTTATGCAATTTAATATATTCTATGATAGTATAGTATGTATTTGTCTATCCCTTACAGTTTTTCTTGCTTAGTATGTATTTGTCTATCTATTTGTTGCAATTGTGAACGTGTATTGGTCAAAGTTTAATTTTAGTGTATTCCATATATATGATTCTCTATTGGTTTGATTACTTGAATTGATTGCCCATTTTGTTTCGATTTATAAGTTAAGGAGATGTTCATTGTTTTAATTTAAATTCCGTCCATATATGTTTTTCAGTTATCGAAAGATTTTCAAAAGAAAATCAAAGCTTGAGTTAGTGGATGAATGATTGTTTGGTTGCATATATTAAGAAATAGTATAGCTGAAGGCTTCAAAATATGAAAACTCGTCAAGGACAATTATAATTGTAATGAATATGCAATATGATTTTTTATATATGTGATATATAAGATGTTTTGGTATGTATTGTGTGTTCAAAATTTTTTATTGTTTATATTTTGTGAGAGGCCCCCCACATATGAAATCATGGCTCCACCACTCACCTCCTTAGATAAATTTAAGGAGGAATTCAGAAATTGAAAAAAAACAAAAAAACACAACTTCAATCATGCTCCCACCTCTTAAGACCTCTAAGAGCTCCTAAATCTCATGAGCTCCTCCTACTCAAATTTAACTCGAAGTGTTTTGAATGCCCAACTCAGAGTTATAACCCCATAACCCTATTCGATAAAAATACAATTGATATTGTTTTTTGGGAGTTGATAAAAGTCATCAGGTACTTTTCTCATATTGAAATAATTAGGGAGAAATTACATCTTAGAGGAGTGCATGTTAACATTTTGGTAATTCCAATAAAGATTTTTTTAAAAATACCAAAATATATAATCTATATTAATATATGCATATATGTATATATTATATTAGCTACGGAAAATGTAATGAGTTGCTCATGTCCTTCATAAGATTTGAACCCTAAACTCTACCAATAAATCATACCAAAAATAAATAAAAATAATAAACCTACAAAAGTCTAGCATGTTTGACATGTTATATTTCTAGTTCAGTTTTGTTTCTTTTCCTCCCTCAAGAATGGTTCAACAACCATAGCCCTGAGTCCCTTAATTTTCCCTACTATTCTTCTCTCTCATGATATAGAAACAAAATTTTGCCGAGTAATTAGTGAATTTCAATGGTAGTTTTGGGCTTTTTTTATGAGGTTTTGGGGTTGGGTTTGTTTTAAGAAACCAATGACAGTTTTGTTATTTAAAAGAAGTTAAAAGTCTTTTTATTATGTTGTAAATGGGTTTTGGGTGTGTTTTTAAAATCCATTTCATACAGGGTTTTTTTTTAATATTTTGGGCTCCTATATTGGGTATAATAGTGAATCTCCCTTATATTAATGTGCAAGAATTGAAGAATTCTGGGATCCCAAAATATCAAGGTCAGCTATGTCCACAGCCTGCCCCAATGAGAAAGACTTCTATGAAATAAAATAGAGTGCTGCTATTTCCACCCCTTTGTCCTTTTTTCTCATCCACCTTATCTTCCCACCCACCATGTAAATTTGAAAAAACACAATCCTATTTTTCCACCCACTTTTATTCTTAAAATATCATTTCATTATTAATTCAACCAAAACCCAAAATAAAGCAAAAAAATTTTAAAATAAATAAAATAACCCAAACAAACCTAGCAACCTCTTCTTATTCTTCTTCTTCAATCACAATTCCAAATTATATATATACTAAACGGCAATCCGACTAAACACTGTTCTTAAGCACAGTGAATTTACGAAAATGCCTTTATTTTAAACTGTTCAGCCAGCTCCTTTTTCCCTTCTACAGTAAAATTACGGTTTTGCCCTTGGCTGATTGTTTTCTGTTTTCCCCGTTTTGCCCTCTCTTTCCTTCGGATGTAACTAGCGGCTGTTTGTTGTTGAGAGGCGTCTGGTTCGATTTCAACTGGCTGGTTGGAGAGTTTCGGGGGCAAGGATGGGAGAGCTGGGTTGCTTCTTCGATGTTCATCTGGAGGCTTCGACTTCCATTTCCCTAAGAACAACTTTATGTTTCTTTTCCTTCCGAACCCATCAAAGCCTCCTCCTCCTTCAAAACCCTTCCAAATTCCCAAACCCCCTCCATTGCCATCTCCACTGCAAATTTCTTCGATAACCAGATCCAGCGGCTGAGGCAATATCTTGAGGTTAGACACGATGACGGGCATCAATTGGCGCAACAATCTTGGTAATCTTAGAGACCCAACTAGCCTTTTATTCTTCCTTGCACATACAATCTGTTTTTGGGTCTGGATTTGATGACAGAGTGAAAGTGAAACGCTAAAAACTGGAGATTTTGGTACAAAGATGGCGTTTTGAATCTAAGTGTTTCTGAAGAATTTGTTTGTTGGCTGGGAGATTTTTTGTCCTTTGTACGAATTTGGGCTCATTTATTTGTTTAATTTAGGTTCATTTATTTGGTTAATTTGATTTCAGGTTCTTGGGTAATCCCTAAGGCTATATAAGAGCTGAGGTATTTATATATCACAACATATTGGTAAGCTTCAAATCAGGTTCAATTTTCTCTATTAATTTTAGTTTTTATTCTTTGACTGTAGCACTGATCCTGCGTTTTTGGTGGTGTAGGGTTATGAGATAGAATTTTCTAATCTTTGATGACATATTAATATTTTTGACTTTTTCCTTTTAGTTTATGGAAGATATGATGTATTTGGAGGGGTTGTTGATAAGAGTGATAACAACATGATGTTGCTTTTGATTATATATTAATGCCTTTTCGTGTGTTGAAGTTTTTTGAAATTTTTTGTTCTTTTTAGGGAGCTTTTTTAACATGAAAAATGAGATGTAGCTGCCTTTGGTTTCATTTGATTGATGTTTTGGGCATATGTTTGTTTTGAAAATTCTTATTTCTATAGCTACAATACTGTTGGTTTGCATCCATTTTGCTTCATTAGGCTATAGATGTAATAAAAATATTGTAATTTAACTCATCCATGTTTTTATTTTCCTTTCCAGCTATCGCTGTTTTGGTTGGAATTTGTAATTTTTGAATATGATGCCTAAAAGAATTACAAAAACCAGAAAAAGCCTGAGTTAAATTATAATAGATCGATATTGAATGCATTAGTGCCAAGGAAAATGTTGTTGAGTTGTAAACAGTTACTCAAAATCTTCCACCTGTTTCATAATAAATGTTTTTTTGTTTTCAATTCATAGTGGAAATAACTTTAAAGTGGGAAAAGATCATCAATTTTTAACAATGAGGATGACATTTTTTTTTTAAAAAGGTTGGCTATATATCAAAAAACTGTCAAAGATGTAGCACATGTGGCACTAATGCTCCAATTGGGGATCACCAGGTTGTTCAGAGCCCTGTTTTAGAATCTAGAATGTCTTTATTTTTCGCTCTTTTGATTGTTGCTTAATTTTATTTCAAATTGCTCCTCTGCAAATGGTTGGTTGCAAGTCACAATTATGGGCCATTGAACTAATTTCCAGAAACAAATTGACCACGTTGGCTTAACTAATTATATAGGGTTTGGTCAATGTTTGGTTTTATCGAATTTGTTTTTTACAGAACATTTGGTATTGGTCTACACTGTCTTGCATGCATATTGATTTCGAAATGAGTTGTGATGTGTTTATTTAGTTTTCTCTTTATGGTGTTGGTTACTTTTCAACCAATTAACATGTGATTCTCCTCTCAAGGAATTTGAAAAGAAACCAGTCTTCAATTCGTATCGTCATATTTTCATGTTTTCATTTGTTTGTGTAAGAAAAGGAAATGTAGCAAATAGTTTCTGTTGGTTCTTGATATTCTTCAATACGAAAATCAGTATTGAAACAGATTCATTAATTGAGACTGTCTTATCTCACAAGCAAAACCAAAATTATATTTATTAGCCTAATTTTGTTTTTCTGTCTTTGTATTTTAGATAGCTGTTGTGATCCTGCTTTTGTGTGGCTGTTTTTCAAAGTGCTTGATAGCTTCTTTGACTACAGGTTAGTGTTTCATCCATTTTTCAAAAGTCTGCATGCATGGTGGCTGTAGCTTATTGATTGCCAAATATTATGACAATTGAAAATTCTCATTTCTGTGGTTCTGTCAATATCACGGTGCATTTGCTTTGCTTAATTACAGTATAGGTGTGATTGATAATTTAAAATTTTATAAATGCATGTTTTTTCTCCTTTCCAGTTATCAATCTGTTGCTTGGGGTTTTAAATTTCTGTGCATAATGCGTAAAAGGAGATAGCAAACGAAATCAGATGATGCAAGAAGCTCATAGTTTTGCCATTTCAAATGGTATAGAAATCTCTTATGAAAGTGTTTGTCTTGCCGATGATAAACATAAAACCAAATAAGAAAATGTGTCAGATTCTAACAATTTACCAATTATTGGTTTGAAGAAGAAAAAAGCCCATGGCAGTTCCAAAATTGCCTCTCCTACTTCCACATCAGAGTTTATGCTATTTTCTTTTCAATTCATTCATCTCATTAACGTACACATTACATACATAATATTTCATCGTTCACAGCTTATTTCTTCACTCAATTTCTCTATATTAAGTGGTAGTTGATTGAATTGAATTTGGGCAAAGTTTCCTTTCTCATAATTGTTTTCAATTATGATTCAATTTTAAAGAAAATTTATCAACTCTTCTTTTAAAATATGATTTTTCTCAAACATCTTTTAGAATGCAATTTGGTTTCATTCCTTTGAGCCAATGTGTTTGATTTTAAAGCATTTGCCTTCCATTAATTTTTGTGGTTTACACAAGTGATGTACATATATTTCAATTCTCCCTGATTCTAATATTTTAGTCACTCGAAATTTTTGTTCATATTAAGAAACTTCCCTTTCTTTAGAAGTTGGGGTATGGATATTTGATCACTTCAATAAATATATAAATTTATTTACTCTTATTGATTATTAAAATTTTCTTTTTTTTTCGTATTTTTTTGGAGCTCCCATATGAACTGACTTTCAATTACATTTTTCAAATTTAAAACATCGTTATTAAATGTTTTAAATGTAATTAACAAAACTATAACCTATAGCGTCTTATCTCTACCTTTATTCTACTTCTATAACATATAGCTATTTATACATCATTGTTGCTTTTATAGCTTACTTCTCCACTAGATTATCTTAATTCTATAACAAATTTGCTCATTAGGTCACTAGATCATCTTATTTCTGTTTATAGGTTATTAAGTATTTTTAGATAATTTAAATTGTGGTTTGTGCAGTTTTCGTTGTTGGCCTTAATTCAATAGGCATTGTCTTTGCTCAAATTTTCTCATTTGTCGACACTGACACCTACCATTTACCAAGTTTATACCAACAAAGTCAACACCCCTTGATTTGATTATATTAAAATTGTCACAATTGTTTTTAGTTTATTTTCAATTGATTCACTAAATTGACCTTATACTCTTATCCATCATATTAATAGAATGCTCGATGTATGTAAATTGTTATTTCTCCTGTTTACTTTTTTAACTTATTCTATCATAATAATTAACGCTTGCCATTTTCCGACTTTATACTAACAGAGTTAAAACCTCTTGAATGGAGAAGAAGGAACATCAGCCAGCTACACAACAAATGCAACAACAGCTATCCCTTGCAAAAAACATCAAAAAAGAAAAATCCATGTCCACCACCCATTAAAATATAGATATACGCCTGTAGAAGAACAATACTTTGCTCAAGGTTACTCATATTTTGATGTTTTAATAGCTGCTTGATATATTAAAATATGCATAATATTTTAACATAACAAGCAGCATATAAAACATGTTAGTTTATTTTTTACAACTTAAGCTTGCCAAACTAAGCATGATGGCACTGTTTAGATCTCAATGTATATATAAATAGGGCCGGTATTTTAACATAACAAGCAGCACTGATATCATCTTATTAATTTATTTATTCTAACTTAAACGTACTAAACTAAGCATAATGTTACTATTTAGATCTTAATATACATATAAACAAAGCTATGTTCCCTACATATTTTTACGACTTTATACACATTTGACGCAATTTCAAAACCCGCAGCATCGCGCGGGAGCCCTTGCTAGTGATTACTAAACCCCAAAATTGCAAACTTTGGCATGGCAAGATTGTTTGTGATGGATCAAAAACAAGCCAAAACCAGTCGAATTGTGGGGACCTAGTAAGTACTGTGCCTATAGGGCTTGTAGTATGCTATACTAATAATTTCCAAGTTCCGACATAGCATAGAAGTGATAGAACTAAAAATTCTAGTTACCAAAGATCTAACAAGTAAAGAATAAGCAATAAAATAACTTGGGAATTCTATGAAACTTCCATTTGACTTTCTTTTGGTTGATATGCATGCAGCGGATACATGGCTCGGCTCCATAATATGTAAAGCGCAGACAGTTTTCAGTTAAATTGGATGTCTGTAGTAATTTCCATGGCGGAGAGAATGAAGGAACCTAAGTAAACAAAGAAAAAGTGCTTTATGTGTCTTTTAATTAACCGCAATGTGAATTTTTCTGGAGTTGATTAATTTATGAAAGAAAGAAAAGGTCTGTCTAATCTTTTTATTTATATATGCATAGCACTTGCACGTGACATAGCAATATTGGTCGATATAACTTCTTCTTTTTTTATTGTCTCTTTTATTTATTCTTTTTCTTTTTCTGTTGCCGACACCCAAGAACATGCAACTTTGTAAAGTCTTTCTTATCTTTTTAAACATTAAAAATAAATAACTTTGTAAAGCTCAAATTATATAATAAAAATTAAATACTCAATAATTGGTGCATGAAGTACAAGTCGACAATAGACAATCATGAACTTTCTGAATTTTATCACCTCAACTCAACCTTATCACTTCATTACCTTCTTGGCTTTTAGTACTTCACTACTTCCCTAAGTACTTTAATGTTTGATCCCACTCTGTTTCCATTGTAGATGATGTCGTGTTTACAATTATTAAAGTGAAAAAAACAAAACATTTGAAATTGAAACCTCCTAGACAAACCAAAAACAAAAAAACAAAAAAAACAGAAACACAGAGCTAACCTAGATGAATGATGAGTCAAATTATAACAGTTCCTCTTCCTAGAAAATATAATCTTAGCAAGATTTCCCAGAAATTTCCCTGATAAATTGATTAATATTCAGGTCAGAAGAACCACCATCTTCCACTGCTTTCTTTGCTGCTTCCTTCAACTCCAAAGCTCTCTTCTTCATTTCTTTAGCCCTTGGCCCATCCACAACCTCCTCAATGCATCTTCCCATTTCTTCTGAGCCAGCAATCCCATCTTCCCCAACCCTAATTCTCACACCAACCCTAAACACATCAGCCAAAAGCTTGGCATTTGTGGGCTGATCAGTCCACTCTGGATAAACTACAACAGGCACACCAGAGGCCACAGTCTCAAGTGTAGAGCTCCACCCACCGTGGGTCATGAAGCAAGCCACTGCCTTATGCATAAGCACCTTCTCCTGAGAGCACCAGTTGACCACCATGCCCCTGTCTCTGGTCTCTTCTAAAAACCCAGATGGCAATTCACCTAACTTCATCTTGGAGCCTTCCGTTGGGGCCTTTAGCACCCAAAGAAATGGTCTTTTGCTGGTTTTCAATGCCATGGCAATGTTGTCTATCTGAATTTGTGACAAAACGGTCACTCTGCCAAATGAGGCATAAATAACAGAGGAGATTGGCTGCTTGTTGAGCCATTCTATGCAGGACTCTTCAGCCTCCCACATGTCAATGTGAAGGGTATTGTTATCATCTTCTTCTGCTTTGCCCAGTATAAATGATGAGACCAATGGGCCAATTGGGCGAATTGGAATGAGTGAATCCATTGAGTCTATGATGTCCTTCTCGAGCTCATAAAACGAATTGCCCAAAACCCAACTTGCCTTCTCTGAGCTCTGAACTGAATCTGATATAAGCTTCTTAAAATGGAAAGGGGTTGAAGGGAGGATAGTGCTAGGAAGATCTTTGACTTCTAAATTTGGAATTCCAGGACAACCAGAAATCTCACTTGGGTTCATTTCAAAGCTTGGATCAAATGGGTTGATTTTTTTAGAGTATCTGTAAAGAATTGAAAAGGTTGCACAAGATTGGTTCCAAAGCAACGCACAAGGGATGCCAAGTTCAGCTGCTACATCAGCAACCCAAGGAACAAAGGGGTTGAAAATTATGCAGGAAATTGTTAGTTTCTTGACGAAAGTGAGGTTTTTGATGAGGTTTGAGAGGTTTTTGGAACCTGAGATTTGAAGGGTGGTCAAGGCCTCTCCACCCTTCTCACGGTTGAATTCGGCGGTGAGCCCATCTGAGAAGAACTCAAGGTTGATTTTGGGGTTTTGGGTTGTGAAAGTGTTGAAGTTTAGAAGGGTGTCTCTTGCAGTTTCAGTTATGGCGAGAGTGATAAAGACACCCTTTGATGCTAGACATCTGGCGAACTTGAGCATAGGATTCATATGAGCTTGTAGTGCCACAACCAAGAGAACATGTGCTTCTTCTTTATCAGCCGCCATGGCTTTTTTGTTTTTGTGAGAGAGAGCTAGAGAGAGAGAGAGAGAGAGAGTAGCAAAACAATGGCTAGCTACTTAGCTACTTCAGCCTGAAGATAACATGGGGGAGTGAGGGATTTAGGCAATGACAAGATCAAGATGTGGTCTTTTTTTATGCCAAGTAAGGTGTCTAGTTTAATAACTTAATCCTTCTTGTTGTTTGGTAGGGCAGAGAGTATCGTTTATATTTGCTCCCTTTTTGTATCCGGATGCCTCCTCCATCGTGTGGTCAGCCTATTTTTTTGCCCTTTATTTCTTAATAAATGTTACAAAGGAAGAATAGACTAGATTTTGATGCCTTGTATATCTGTGGGTAAAATAATGAGAGGTTGATTTAATTTACTCTCCATTTGGATGAAGTAATTGAAAATTACATAAAATTCTAAAATGACGGAATTTAAATTTCCATCATTTCAAGTTAGACGGCATAAGGGGGTGAGACAACCGCATTAAATACAATTTTATTTGATTTTTAGTTTTGGAAGTGGATTAAGCCGAATCGAACTGTGCTCACCCCTTACTTTTAAACAAAAAAGTCTTGCCTTTAATGATAAGTAATACCAAGTAATTGAAAATTACATAAAATTCTAAAATGACGGAATTTAAATTTCCATCATTTCAAGTTAAACGGCATAAGGGGGTGAGACAACCGCATTAAATGCAATTTTGTTTGATTTTTAGTTTTGGAAGTGAATTAAGCCGGATCGAACTGTGCTCACCCCTTACTTTTAAACAAAAAAATCTTGCCTTTAATGATAAGTAATACCAAGCTACCAACAAATGTATTATCTAATGATAATTTTCTTCTCAGTATTGAAAACTGTACGAATTTCAACATCAAAGCTAAGCTGTGTGTGAGAGGAAAGAAAAGACAGCAGCAAAACAAATGGCTAGATAGATATAATCATATAACTAAAACAACATAAGGTCAAAGGCAGTGAAGGGACACTGATTAGGCAATGACTAGATGCCATATCATATTATATTACCCAGTTGCTTAATTAAATCCTCCTTTATTTTGTAGGCCAGAGTATCACTCATTTGTTGGCTTTCTGCACTCTCATTTTGGATCTGGATGCTTCCTTCCTTCATCGTTGGCCACCACATGAACCTCTCTCTCTCTCTCTCTCTCTCTCTCTCCCTCTCTCTCATTGAGGCCCACAAAAAATAAAATAAAAATAGACTTTGATGCGGGTCCTCTCTACCTCCCTAGCACAATAATCTTGCATGCTATATGCATGGAATGTTTATTTAATCTATAACAAATTAATTTTTTTTAGGACATCTCTAATCATCTTCCTTATTTTGTAACTTTAACTAGTACTTCGTCTATACACATTATGGAAAATAGTCGTGACCTTTCTTATATTTTTAATCTCTACAAAACGAAAAATGAAGTGTTTTCCTCAATTATAAATTATAATAAATTACATAAATAATTACTTTTTCTCTCCTTAAATTTAAAAGCCTTCTGAGGTCGGGTTGTTTATGTGGTTGGGCCCGTTTGTCTTTATTTTTGGGAGTGGTAGGGCTAGGGGTATGCCATTTTGGGCTAACCTTTGTATTGCCTGGCCTTTGGGCCTTATTGTATTTATTTGTATGGATTTTTGAGAAAAGTCACATGAACTTATACATCAGTTTCAATTTGTCACCTTAAAGAAAAATTTAAGCAAAATGTCATCTTAAGTTTTCAAAATCCATGATTTGTCACCTATCTTTAACATCATTCAATTTTCCATCCATTTTGAAGGGTATTTTAGTCTTTCCAATATGTAAACCCTCTTTTTTATATAATTTAAATGTAAAGCTATGTAAACCCTCTTGTTTAGAAAGACTAAAATATCCTTCAAAATGGATGGAAAATTGGATGATGTTAAAGTCAAGTAACAAATCATGAATTTTGAAAACTTGAGGTGACATTTCGCTTAAATGTTTCTTTAAGGTGACAAATTGAAACTGATGTATAAGTTCAGGTGAGATTTCTACAAACATCCCTTATTTGTATCGTGATTGGCTTTGTTCATTCTTCTTCCACATTCCTCTCCCATACTGTACATAACTTTTTCCTTTGTCTGAGTTTGGCAAAACTAGTTGAGTCCCACCTATCGTCATAACTTTTAAGAATCTCTTTCTTTGACAAAGAAAACAAAACACCCATTGCTTTTCTCATCCTTCGAATAATATTCAATTTGTTGTGGGCAGTCTGTTTTGCAAATGGAAATATATGTAGGAGTTAAATAGAATTTCTTTACCAAATTGTTATTCGATGATTTAAGAAAATTCAATAATTAAGTAATCAAATTTGAGAGTTTTCTGAGAAAGAGCTTGTGAGAGAGCTGAATTTTGGTTGTCCAAAAAAAAAGAGCTCAAATGTGCAGGTACGAGAGAAAGAAGACGAAAGATAATTAATGTAATTGTTGATGTGGATAAGGATATTCTGGCAGTTTAGAACCGGTTCTCCCATTCCGCTTTCCGCTTTCGCTTGGCTGATTCACCAAATCGCTATGGCTGGCAGCAATTTCTCATAAAAAGATGATTTTTCTATTTTTACCGAACGGGTTGTGTGTAGCCCAAGATTTTGAAGAAAGTGATTTTGACCCCAAATAAGTAATACCAAACGGGGACTAATATAGCTCAAATTCAATCAAGCAGTATAAAATAAAATCACCCCATAGAGGTTTGCCAAAAAAGTCTTGCATTTGCTTGTCGTATCGCATTCAACGACTATCGTATATAAGATTTGAATTCAGAATTTCCTCCAAGAAACGCGTAAATCAAATTATCATGGGATCGGGGACCACTTAGTCATGGGGTTCTACGAAATGAGTGGTTCCACATAAGATTTACGTATACAATGAGATAATACATGAGACTAAATTAGTGCACAGCCTTGCCATGCAAGAAAGGAGCAGAATGTGCTTAAGTCTTGGATGGAGTTGCAAGGAAACCCAAACAGACCTGCCTTTTTTGGTTTGTCAATAATGGTAGGCTATAAAAATGTGTGAAGTCCCTAATCTCCTCTAAATAAATTCCACCAATACCATTACGAAGAAAAACATTTTTAACACAGTATACTATATAGTATATACCTTAGTATGCTCATACGATACGTCAATCGATTAAAAAAAATGTCATGTATTAAAACTAAAAGACAGATTTAGTTTACTTACATGCACGGCAACTGAAAAACAAAGTTTTCTTCTTTTTCTTAATTATAAAATATGAATAAATGGTGTCTAAATCAATGTAGGTGTATAAGTATAGGTATTTAAATATGAATGTGTATCTTATCATGGAGCTACTATGATGGCTATTTTGACACAAATAAAATTAAAATTAAAAATGTAGGTAGTCCATATATGATTTAATGTTTACTCTTTTTTTCTTTTTTATAGAAAGACTATATATATTATAAATACCCAAAAAAATAATCATTAGATTTTAAACTAATAACTTTAGCTAGCCCACTTGTTGAAAAATTTCTAATTCTATCTTGCTAAACTAGTGCACAACTTTGCCATGTATGAAGACATGAGCAGGTCTTGAAGGGAGTTACAAGGAAACCCCAAACAGACCTGCCTCTTTTGGTTTGTCAATGATGGTGGGCTATAAAAATGTGTGCAGTCCTTAATCTCCTCTAAATAAATTCCAATACCATTACGGAGAAAAACATTTTTAACATAGTACGTATCATACTATATAGTATAGTATATACCTTAGTATGCTCATACGATACGTCAATCGATTAAAAAAAATGTAATGTATTAAAACTAAAAGACAGATTTAGTTTACTTACATCCATGGCAACTGAAAAACAAAGAGTTTTCTTATTTTTCTTAATTATAAAATATGAATAAATGGTGTCTAAATCAATGTACGTGTATAAGTATAGGTTTTTAAATATGAAGGTGTTTCTTATCATGGAATTGCTATGGTGGCTATTTTGACAAAAATAAAAATGTAGGTAGCCCGATTGGCCCCTTGCCCAATTGATATATTACAACTAGGAAAATATTGACTGGTCATGAAAATTCCAATAAATCGTTTAAGTCACGTTATACTGCAGCCATGGAATTCAAATCAAACAATGCATAGTCTAATTTGACCTCTTTTTTTCTTTGATTCTCCCCAAAACTACAAGAACTTTCTGATGGCTTCATAGCAGCCGGCTAGCTAGTAGAGGATATTCAATACTGTTTCCACCATATATATATATATTATTTTCTTCCTCATTTTCTAACTTGGACTCGCAACCAATCTTTCCAATTCTTTTTCTACATGTTAGCTAGAGATCAAGAACCATCGATGTTACTTCCTAATTGCAGCACATGAACAAATGGCATGCCATGAAAGATTGGAAATGTCACGTTCGTTTGAATTTACATGATATATGTTGCATGTCAAGTATCTTAGTCAAACAAGCCTCGTCTCACAGTCTAACTTGCTTACCAGGTACCGAGGTTATAAATAGGCCAGACCAAATACTTCATCATGCAGATCACACAAAACACAGACCAACAATATACTCTCTCTCTCTCTCTCTCTCTCTCTCTCTCTCTCTCTCTCTCTCTCTCTCTCTGTTTTTCAATTGTCCAATACCAACATGACAACCAAGTTTTTCAGTTTGCTGCTTCTTTTGCTGAGCTCCACATTCATTGCAGTAAGTGCTCGACCTTTCAATATCATGAAGCACAGAAACTCTGATCGTAGAGCAATTGGAGGTTTCTTTGATGGTTTATCTCTTGAAGCCATCAAAGAATCGGGCCCTAGCCCAGGTGTGGGGCACCAGTTTACCAATCAACAAACCCTTGGAGGGATTAAAAGTTCAGGCCCAAGTCCAGTCACAGGAAACAAATTCACAAATGTGGAGACTCTTGGAGGCATTAAGGATTCCGGTCCAAGTCCTGGTACTGGACACAAATTCCCAGATGTTAAGACTCTTGGAGGGATTAAGGATTCCGGCCCAAGTCCTGGTACAGGAAACAAATTCACAAATGTTGAAACTCTTGGAGGGATTAAAGAGTCAGGCCCAAGCCCTGGTGCAGGAAACAAATTTACAGATAACACCCATCAATGAATATTCGTGATCATCTCAATAGAAACTAGAAATATTCATTATGTATTTTCTTATTTACATTTTTTTGTTGATTTGATTTATATTTATGCTCCATGTATCTTCGAGATAAGATAATTTATGTTCATGTCATTTCATTTTATATTTTTATCGCAAATTTTTCTTTATCATGTAAGTAAGTTTCCATACATATTCCAACTTTTATACAACAGAGCTCATGTACCCATACCATTTTTACTTTTTATACTAATGGCATGTTTACTAATCCAATTATGGATTGAAGGGAATTGAATTGAGGATGAATTGAATTGAGGAGGAGTTGGATTGAGGAGAATCATATGGATTGAAGGGAGTTATATTCCGAATTCCTATTGAAGTTATTTACTAAACCATATGGAATTGAGGTAGAAGTGGTACTAATTACTAAAATGTCCTCGTTGTTTGGTTAAAGTGGATGGCAAATTTGGAATTTTAAAAATTGTGTGAGGATATACTGGGTAAAAAAGATGAATTCCTAATGGGTTAGTTCTCCATGAATTAAAATACCATCTCCCACCCAAGAATTGAATTCCTCCAAAATTAGGAATTCAATTCATAATTTTGTATGGGCCTCACTTAATTTTTAACTCCTTGATGTGAAGTAAACGCATAAATCCTCCATAGGTGGAATTCAATTCCTGATGAAAATTCCAATTCATGGTTGGTAAACACACCATAAATTGAGAGACTCAAGTTATGAATGACAACCCTAATGAATAAATTGTATTTAATAGAGCCTTTATTCAAATATAATATTTTTTCTAGAATATATATATAGTCCCCTTCTATTGAGGGATTCTTTAAATAATTTTATTTAAGGGACACCCTTTAGGGTTCCCTACGAAACTTTTTTCAACGATCCAAATTATTTATTTTTCACATATTCATTCGGAGATCATCCTTACAAAAAATCATGCAAATTGAAAATCATTAAGGCATCTAATTGAGACCAACAAAATCAATGAACACAGTGCATCAAGAAAGTACTTCAATTTCAATAATTTAATTGAGTGGTCAAATGATATCAGATTCAAGTGATTTTTTTGTAGAGATGATCTTTGAATGAATATCTACAAAATAGACAGTTTGGATTAGTGAAATACAATGAGGAATGAGCCCTACAAGGGTGTCTTTCAAATAACTTATTTGAGAGATTCCTCAATAGAAGCTATATATATATATTAATATTATATATGTAGATATGAGGCTTTCTTCAATAGAATGTCTTTTATTGTATATGAAAGTCCACGGTAGTGATAAACACACTTTCATTTGAATATTTTGTAATTTTCTTTATTTTTTTTTTTATAAAAATAATAATCTAAACTATTCTACTTTATGTAACAAGAGAATCAAATTCAAACTCATATGGAAAGAGATATACACACTATCTCTAGCTGACCTAACGCACACGCACGCACTCTCTATGTTTTATAATTTATTTATTTATTATTATTATTATTATTTTTTTTTTATCAAAGTGAGATAACTTCATTGAAACAACAATGTCATAATACAAAAAGAAAAACTGGACTTTAGTAACAAGTGTGGCCTCATTAAAACCTTGTCTTTAAAAACTCCCAAATGGAAGAAAATTCGGTCAAGAAAAAAGAGTATTTAAGAAAATAATTTGTCATTGGCCAAAACATCATAAATCCCTAAAGGACCATTATCTAACCACACTTGAAAGTCCTAAGACAGGAGCGCCTGCTTAACCAATAGATGAACAACCTAGTTACACTCCCGTAGAGCAAATTGACAAGAAATATGATCAAAACGATTAAAAAAGCCCCTGATTTCATCTACCCCCACCAACCAGCTTTTTTTTTTAATGAAGAAAAAGGAGGAAAACCACTGACCAGCTTTGCTCATAAGTTTGAAGATTCATAATAATCGCTTTTGCATCCATTTACAAAATGACATAACGATGCCTCATTTGACTTTAATTTTTCTTTTGTTATTTCAATTGGAGTGCTGCTATTTCCACCCCCGAGTCCTATTTCCCTACCCACCTTATCTTCCCACCCACCATGTAAATTTGAAAAAACATAATCTTATTTTTACACCCACCATAATTCCTAAAATACCCTTTAATTATTAATTCAAGCAAATTCTCCTTACTTTCATTCAAAGCATGCTTCAAACCTTCAACCCCTATCAATCAAAACGCGTGGGATCCTCTGTAAAGTATTATTAAAAATTTTAAAAATAAAGAAAATCGCTATCAATGTTCATCGTCTCTCCACCGAACGAAAACAATAACGAAGAGAAATGCCATAATTAAAAAAAAGACGAAGAGCAAACTGAGCAAATGGAACAGAAAGCCTGTGCCCTTGGGTTCAGAAACTGAGGAGAAATCTAATGGAATTGGATTGGACCCAGTTGGAAATTTTGAAGCTTTATTGGAATTTTGATTTGGGTTTGGTCGGGATGAGGGAGAGAGGGAGGGGTTGGGGTTTGACAAGGATGAAGGAGAATATGTGTTTTTTTTAATCTAAAGTCCTTAAAAGTCATTTTACAAATGGATAAATTTGTTTTTAAATTTTGAAAATAAGGTGGGTGGGAAAATAGGACAGTTGGGTGAAAATAGCAGCACTCTTTCAATTGTAAAAGCACGAGGATAAGAGGAAAAATAACAAATGGATAAAATATTAGAGTGCTGCTAAACGAACCCTAAAATTAACTGAGTACACCCTACTACCAAACTATTTATTGAATTACTAATTTACCCTAATATAAAA